AGGCTCTTTTTCTTTGAAATTCAAGTCTCATTATTGTTTCTTAAGGAAATATTGAGATGTTGGAAAGAGAAAAATATCTTTAGGAACTACACTACAAAGACGATCGAAAAGCCACCGATGGTACCCAACGCAGTCCAACAAAAATTGGTCAAGGGCGAAACTATTTTTGGGTGTTGGTTGCGGACCATATGTGTATCACAATAATGTTAAAAAATAAGGATCGTGACTGTTTTTTCGCGAGCGTGCTCCATGTAGCCCAATTAGGATTTCAGTTTTAAGCCCGTATGTACGATGCTATATGTAACGACCCGAAAAAAAAAATAATAGTAAGTAAATAATAATTAAAAAAAAAAAGTAAAGTAAAGTATGGACCCTTTCTCCACCTTCCCCAAATATCTCCCCAACACCTCCAACTGCAAAAGGATCTGCAAAAGAAAGAAACAGAACTGAAACAAAAAAATGGTCAAAGGGAAGGAATGACTTCACTCCAAGAATATTTGATAGGAAGGGAAGAGATAGAAAATTTATAGGTAAGTTAGATCTCCTCTTCTTTTATTTTTGCAAGAGATAGAAAAATTATTTTAGATCTCTCTTTTTTCAATTATTTAGATTTTTGGATCTCTTATCGAAAATCAAAATTGATTGAAAAATGGTTTTGTCAATTGCATGAATCATCATTTTTAGGAAAGAGAAGAAAATCATAATTGATTGATGCATAGTCAGTTTATGAAGGAAAATTAGAATGGATGGTAAATGAATTTGATAATGATTTAGGAAAGAAAAGAAAACAGAATAAATTGAAAATGGTTTTCTGTTAATTGGATAGTCATATTTGAAAAGAGAGGAGAACAGAATTGATTGAAATTGTTTTATAATTGCATAATCATTTGTAGGAAGAAAAAAAAAAATACAGAGAGAAGAGAACAAAGAGGTACAAGAAAGAAAATGGAAGATGTGAAAAATTATTATTGTTTGTATCTAGAGAATATAATATTATAACAAACCATAGTTTGATTGAATGATTCAAAGCAGTATGAAATAATATTGATATATTTTCAATTTGAGTTTTAGAAAATTTAGAAACAATGAAAATTTGGAATTCGATTTTTACTGAGACCGTTTTAGAGCCGTATTTCACATTGTTAGTTGGATTATTAATTAAAATGTGAAATACTAACAAAAGGTGACGAACGGTGGGATATGAAGCGAACTCCAGCAACCTTTAGAGTAGCTCTCGAGGAACGGGAGATTACGTTAATTAAATTAGGGAGTACTTCGGCTAAGGCCAACTAGGGAAGTGGCCTTACTATAGGATAGGCTAAAAATTGTATGAGTTATGATGTTGTATGAACTATGTCGTACGATGCGGTATATGAGTTATGATGATGTATGACTTATGATGATGTGTGGGTTATGATACCTGATGATGTGCTCAGTATATATATATTTTGATGAATGTCGTACTTGATATGTTTGATGCACTTTGTGGCAATATGATGAGTATGATGATTGCGTGACGTTTATCTTAATATGATGATGTTTTTCATATTGAGCATGCTATATGATGATGAGTGTCATACTGCATCATGTCGTTAGATCGACATAGGACACAACCCTAAGAGCGTGAAAATGATATTAATATAAATATCCACGAGTATGTGTTACCTAGAGTAACAAAGAGATGAGACTAGAGGGTTGTGTCAGAAGAGACATTATGATGGATTTAGAGGGACCTCATGCATATTGTATGTTCATAAGCATAGGGCTACTTCCCCTAGAGATGATGAGTGCGGACGCGCACCGTATGATGAGCGCGTATGCGCACAGGTGCGAAAGCACACAGATGAGGGTGTTCATGAGGTGCATGACACTATGGGGTTCCGCTGACCTCCGGACGTCGCTACAGATTAGCTTGACTAGAGAGTCTAGGGGGTGTGCGAGCGCCCTGGGGATTCACACTCGCACGTGTGAGTCGTGTGTAGGGAAGTACTACACATCCAATTTGTCCACCCCTAAGATGATTAGAGATAGGTCCCTAAATCATGATTGCATGTGTTTGCATTTGCATGGCCTCCTATAGTGGGGCCACTTACTAAGTATTCTTTGAAATACTCAGGCCGTGTGCCACATCATTTTTCAGGTAAAGGCAAGGCGCACTTGTACGGAGGATGGTGGCATCGTGAGCAGAGACTGTGGCACGTGCATAGGGTAGACTCATATTTAAATTTCTAGTCTTAAATTAGAATAGGTTGTTTTGAATTTCATTGTTTTAAATTATTTTATATATTGTTTTTGTTTTCTTTAAATTTCAGTATTTTATATTTAAACACGTAAGACCATGGCTGTGTTGTCCAAAGAAGAAGTTGTTTTAAACGTTTTTTTTTTTAAGTTTACGTTATCAATTATGTTCATGTAAGAGTTATATTTCCGTATTATAGATGAGCATGAGACGTTAGTAGCGACTCTAAGTATGTGGAAATTTAGGGTCGTTACACTATAGGTTTTTTTTCCTCGAGATTCAAGTCTCATTACTATTTCCTAAGGAAATATTGAGATATTGGAAAGAAAAACCAGCTTTTCGGAATTGACCTAGAATGTGAGAGAAAATCCATGGCGGTAACCTAATATTGGCCGAACAAAAATTAGCCGGGAGAGAGACTATTTTTGGATGTTGGTTACATACCATACATGTCAAAACTATCGAATATGAACATTCTTTATAATAATGACTAAAAATATCGACTGTGGCTATGTTTTTTTTTCTCTTTTTTTTTTTTTGTTCGTGTGCTTCAAACGGCCCAATTAGGCTTTTGGTTTTAAGCCCGTACATACAGTGTTGTAGGCTCTTTTTCTTTGAAATTCAAGTTATAATGTTGTATCCCAAGTTATAGTGTTGTATCCCAATGTCAGTCAAACAAAAATTGGCGAGGAGCGAAACCATTTTTGGGTGGATTGTCAACTATTCGTGCGAAAATCATAGAATTGGAATATTCATCGCAACAATGTCAAAAAAAAATATTGACCATGACTTAGCTTGTTGCGCGTGAGCTTCAAACAATCCGATTGGGTTTCCAAATTAGAATTTCAACTTTTAGACCGTACGTACATTGTTGTAAGCTGTTTTTCTTTGAAATTCATGTCCCAGTAGTGCTTCCTAACGAAATCTTGAGATTTTCGAAGAGAAAAAAGTCTTCTAAAACTGCCCTAGAACAAGAGTGAAAAGTCATCGATGGTACCCCGACATCGGTCAAATACAAAAATTGGTCGGGAGTGAAATTAATTTTGCATTGTCTGTTGCCGACCATAAGTGCCGAAAATAATTTTCTTTTTAGTCATATGTTACTCTATCATGATTGGGCTTTATTACAAATTGATAATGTTTCCCAAAGAATAAGGTGCAATACATGGTTGGTGAGATCACTTTTCTCTTCTGGATAGCCGAAAAATGGTGTACTATTTATGTGTAGAAATATATGTTTAAGATTTGTTAGTTTTTACTGGTTTTCTTACTTTTATGACTTTCTAACAGGATCCAGTTAGGTTATTCCGAAGGGTTGTATCAATTTGTTCAGACAAAATTACTTCAAGAAAGCTTTTTCAGAGGTCAGTTGGCTAGATTGAGAAAATGTCTTACACTTTTACTTATTTTCTCTAAAAACCCATTTTAATTGTTCCTAATATTATAAAAGTATAAGTTTGATCCATTGGAATGCGGGGACTCACTCTCATGAATGAAAGGGACATCCCTCCATCCACCTAGCATCCACAGTATGGTTGTTGACTACTTTTGGCCTTAATCTTGTTTAAATTAATTGATTGATGTTTTGATGATAATAAATCAACTTTTAATTATTAATCATTTTTAGTATTATGAAGTGTCCACGTATAAAGTTGGAAACAACGATTTCAACAACTTTTTAATCACTCAAATTAGAGCTAAAACTAAGAAATGACAATCGAGACAAGATACCCGACGTCATGATGTGTCAGCTAAATTAAAATTATGGACAAATCAAATTTATAATTTAGAACAAAGGTGGAGTTTTTTTTAATTATATTTTTAAATAAAATTATTTATACCTAATATAAATTTAAATTTAACGGTTAGTATATTGATATTTATTATTACTTTATTATATTATTATATTATTATATTATTATATTTTAAAGTTTTTGGGTTATTCATGTACCTTTTATTATTATTATAATATTATATTATTATATTTATAATAAATTTTGAAATTTAAATTAAATTGTTACTCACGTTACTTATTATTATTATATTATATTTATAATAAATTTTAAATTTATCATTTAACCGTTACTTAAATTGATTTTTATTATATTAAAAAATAATAATACAAATAAATTTAGAAAATTTTCTTATTATTTACTTTTAATTTCCACCCTCCATTTCACTGTAACACAATCCAATGGTCAATATTAATTCCTATCTCACTCCTCTTCTCTATTTAAACTCATCATCTTCCTCATATTTTGACACACACAACTTCTATAATTCTTTCGTCTCCATTGTTGCTCTCTCCTATCTTATTTTAGAGAGATTTTTATTGTGTTATGAGAAAATAGTTGGAGTGCTTAAATTAGAGAGAGTCCTCTTCTCTATTTAAACTCATCATCTTCCTCATATTTTGACACACACAACTTCTATAATTCTTCAGTCTCCATTGTTGCTCTCTCCTATCTTATTTTAGAGAGATTTTTATTGTGTTATGAGAAAATAGTTGGAGTGCTTAAATTAGAGAGAGATTTTTATTGTATTGTGAGAAAATAGTTGCGAGTACTTAAATTGTAAATCTACTCTATTAGAGAGTTATGGTGTATTCCTACAAAATTCCAATACTTGTACTGGTTTGATTCTGAGCCGTGAAAAGAATTGAGTTTGTTCTTGAACTCGTAAAAAGAGCGGTGTAGCAGTTGGGCTATGATCCGTAGGAAGAGTCAAGAAAGTTCTTTATTCAAATTCTCAAGAGGCGCTCGGGAAAGTGGAGTAGGTTGAGTTTAACCGAACCACTATAAAACTATGATATCATGTTTTCTAACTCTTTTCTATTTAATTTTAAAATTATTATTGTGATTTATTACCTGTTTTAAGTGTTTATTCTTTTGACTTAACTATTTTGTTCTATTAATTATCTATAAAAGTATTATAATTAGAAAAATTAGGCACGCTTAAATACTTTTATTGTTAAACCCTATTCACCCCTTCTAGGGTTGTCATATCGATCCAACAATTGGTATTAGAGCGGGTTGCTCTTAAGATTTTTTATATAAACTTTATTGTTAGAGCTTATGGAAAACCTACATGTTAATAATTGTTTTAGTGAAGGAAAATCAACCTCTAGGCCTCCTTATTTTGATGGAACAAGTTATATTTTTTGGGAAGCTAGAATGAAAATTTATTTGCAATCGGTTGATTATCATCAGTGTTAAATGTTAATAAAGGTCCTTGTATTCCAATAAAAATTGTTAATAATATTGAGGTGTCTAAAATAGAGGATGAATTTGATTAGCATGATATGAAAAAATGTTTTGCTATAAACGGTCTTTATTGTGCCCTAACAATGATGAATTTAATAGGATATGTATGTGTTCTTTGACATATGAAATTTGGAAAACTCTTGAATAACTCAGGAGGGAACAAATTCAGTTAAAGAAACAAAAATTATCATGTTAGTCCATAATTATGAACTATTTAAAAAGGATGAAATGAATCTATTGGTGATATATTTACTAGATTTACTAATATTATAAATGCTTTGAAAAATCTTGAAAAAAGTATATTCAAAGAAAAATTCTAAGTCTCTACCTCCTAAAAGTTGGGAAGCAAAAGTGACGGAGAAGCAAAGGATCTCACAAAGATTCCTTTGGATGAACTGGTTGGTTCTCTCATGACACATGAAATTACCATGGAGGAGCACATGAAAGAGAATCCAAAAAAAAAAAAAAAGTATAGCCCTAAAGTTCATCACATTAGAAGTTGACTCCGAAGATGAGGAAGTCCTTGATGAAGATGATGTCGCCTACTTCATACGTAAGTATAAAAATTTTATTAAAAGGAATAAACAATTCAAGAAACATTTCACCAACCAAAATGAGTTAAAAGGTGAAAAGAGCAAAAACGATGAGGTAATATGCTATGAATGTAAAAAGTCGAGTCATATAAGAACAAATTGTCCTCTTCTCAAATCATCAAAGAAATCCAAGAAAAAAAGCAATGAAGGTACTTGGGATGATAGTGACGAAAGTGGAAGTGATGAATAAGTAGCAAATTTTTGCTTGACTCGTGTGACAAAGATGATGAACAAGACGATGAGGTAATTCTTGAATCTCTTTCTTGTAATGATTTATTTAAAATCGTTGAGGAGATAGTTGATTTAAAAAAAACTTGGTTCAAAGTATGTTATGCTTCAAAGAAAATATAAAACTTCAATAAATGAAAATAAGTCTTTACCAAATGAAATTTCTTGCTTGAAAATGATCATACATTGTAAATTTTGATATACCTTGAAAAAACATGTATTTGATAGTGATGAAAAAAATGCATTAATTGATAGAGTTAACTTTTTTTTTTTTTTGTTCACAAACTAAATTGCTAAAAGAAAATAAATTAAAAACAGTAGGCCTAAAGAATTTATTAAAAGGTTAACAATAAGTGCTCAAGAATCAGATAAAATACTTAAATAGGTAAGGCTTATGTGATAAAAGAGGATTAGACTATATTGATGAAAGTTTTCCACTTCAAGTTCTCAAACAATATTGGTTAAAGCATCCCCTATCATGTCTAAGTCTAAACCCAGGTAAATTTGTTCTAAGTATTCCTTCGATTTTTTTTTTCTCAAAACACAAAATTTAACAATGACGTAAGAAATATTTTCTCCATTAAAAATAAAACACATAAACTTAGTCCAATAAATAAATTATTGCATGATGTTTGTTTTTCATGCGGTAAGGTTGGACATAAAAATTATTCTGGTTAATTATCCAAATACAATGCCTTTAATAGATGGACCCTAAATTTGTGAAGACTAACTTTCTAGGACCCAAAAAAGTATGGGCACCAAAAGGTCAATTTTGAATCTTTTTGTTGTTTGAAAGTCTCCAAGAAAAATAAGTGGTACTTGGACAGCTTGGTCAATTTTGAATCTCTTTGTTGTTTAAAAGTCTCCAAGAAAAAACAAGTGGTACTTGGACAGCGGTTGCTCAGGACACATGACGGGAAATCAATCCAAGTTTGTGAATTTTCCAAGAAGAATGGTGGCCTAGTAACCTTTAGTAATAACAATAAGGTAAAATAATTGGTAAGGGTACTATAGGTAATGACACTTGTACTCTTATTGAAAATGTACTTTTAGTCGATGGTTTAAAGCATGACTTACTTAGCATTAGTCAATTATGTGATAAAGGTTTTAGAGTGGTATTTGATAAGAATAATTGCATAATTAAAAATGCTAGTATAAGAAAGTTTTTGTTCGTAGGAAATAGAGATGACAATGTGTATACTATTGATTTAAATGATTGTCCTACAAACGATAAATGTCTTTCGGTTTTACATGATAATTCTTAGTTATAACATAGAAGATTAGGACATGCTAGTATGCATTTGATTTCAAATATTTCAAAAAGTTCATTGGTTAGAGTTCTTCCTAAATTTAAATTTGAAAAAGATAAAATTTGTAATAATTGTGAAATAGAAATGCAAACCAAGTCCTCTTACAAATCATCTACCCGTAGAATTCTTCAACTATTATATATGGATCTCTTCAACTATTACATATGGACTTATTACATATGGACTTCTTTGACCCTTCTAAAATATGTTGTGTGATAGGAGATGATTTTTTTGCTTAAATTTTGAGAATAATGTTTGGAAAAGAATGGCTAGTTCAAAATGAAAAAAAGCATTTTTAATTTCGAAGATACCATCAAGAGAGAGAAATACATGAGGATTTACTCATCCTTTTTCATTTTGTATTCTTTTTACAAAATTAAGAAAATCTTTTAAAACATATTCCTATATTTTATCATCAAAATTCAATTAATATTTCGAAAAATAGTCAACTATCATACAGGCATAGTAATTGACTCTAGCTATTTTAGAAGGGTCAAATAAGTCTATGTAATAGTTGAAGAGGTAGAAATCTCATTATTAGATTTGAAATAAGACTCGGTTTGCTTACCCATTTGCCAAACATCATAAATTGTATCTTTTTCAAATTTAAATTTAGGAAGATTTTAACTAAAGAATGTTTTGAGATATTTAAATTTAGTATGTCCTAATCATCTATGTCATAGCCAAGAGTTATCACACAAAGTTGAAAGACATTTATCATTTTTAGGACAATCATTTAAATTAATAATGTACACGTTATCATCTCTATTTCCAACAAACAACATCTTTCTATCACTAACATTTTCAATTATGCAATTATTTTTATCAAATATAACTCTAAAACTTTTATCACATAGTTGACTAATGTTAATAAGTCATGCTTTACATCATCAACTAAAAATACATTTTAGTACAAGAGTCATTATCTATAGTACCCTTACCAATTATTTTAAAGTTATTAAGACACCATCCTTCTTTTAAAGATTCATAAACTTGAATTGATTTCGCACTTATTTTTTCTTGGGGCGATCAAATAAACCTGAAAACAAATATACTTAAAATTGACCTTCACCGGTTTGGGTCCTAGAAAGTTAGTCTTTTAAGAATTTAAGAATCATGTTTGCATTATATTAAAGACATTGTATTTAGATAAGTAACAACAATAATCTTTATGTCCACGCTTACCTCGTGAGAAACAAATAACATCATGTAGGAATTTATCTTTTGGAAAGTTTATGTATTCTATTTTTAATAGAAAAATTTATTTCTTAAAACATGGTTAAATTTTATATTTTGAGAAAATTTTCCTTTTGAAATAATGTTTTGAGAAATTTTCAATTTAAAGCACTTAGGTTTAACATGACCTTCAACACCACAATAATGACATATAAACACATCTAGATTTATCATACTGAGATACAAATTTACATATGTTAGGCTTCGACATAATAGGGGATGCTTAAAAAATATTGTTTTAGAACTTGGAGGGGTAGAACATTCATCAATATAGTCTAATCCTTTTTTATTACCCTAATTAACTTTTTAATAGACTCTTAAGCCTTACCAAGTTTTTGCATAGTATTTAATTTATTTTCTTTGAACAATTTAATTAACTTATCTTTTTTCCAACCATCATCTCAAGAAATTTAACTTTATGAATTAGTCAATTAGTGCATTTTTCTAATCACAATCGAATACATCTTTTCACAAAGTACGTCAAATGGTACAATATTATGATCATTCTCTTTTAGATAAGAAATTTCATTTAATAAAGATTTATTTTTAATTATTGAAGCCTTATATTCTTTTGAACCTACTTGAACCAAGTTTTTCTAAATCAATTACATTTCTTCAAAAACTTTCAATAATTCATTGAAGGAGATTCAAGAATTACCTCACCTTCTTCATCATCTTTGTCACTATGAGCCACTTCTTCATCATCGTCACTATGAACCATGAAGCAAAAATTATGTGTCTATCTTCTTCCTTTGCTTCTACTTTTAGGTAGAGACTTAAGAATGTTCCTTGTTTTCGAAATTATAATATACTTTTAGAATTTAAATTAGAATATACTTTTAGATTTTTCAAAGCGTTTAGAATATTAGTATTAGTAAATCTAATAAACATATCACCCATCCTTTGTTTAACTTAATTTGTTCCCAGATTATATCACTAACATTAAAACCATTAAAACAACATTTTTTCATATCATTAAATTCATCTTCAATTTTAAGCTCTTAATATTATTTTTATTGGAATGCAAGGGTCTTTATAACATTTAAAATTGTAATCAATCGATTTTCATTCTAGCTTTTCAATAAATATAATTTGTTCCATCAGAATAAGGAAGTCTAAGAGTTGATTGTCACCAAAACAAGGAGGTCTAGAGTTGATTGTCACCAAAATAAGGAGGTTTAGAGTTGATTGTCTATTGTCATCATAAAAAACCATTTTTAACTAGGTTTGCCGTAAGCTCTAAAAATCTATAAGAAGCAACGACTCTGATACCAATTGTTGGATCTAAAAATCTATAAGAAGCAATTGCTCTAATACTAATTGTTGGATAGATATAAAACTAGAGGGGTGAATAGGGTTTTAACAATAAAATTATTTAAACTTATTAATTTTTTTAATTATCAAATTTTTTTTAACAACAAAATTATTTAAATTTATTAATTTTTCTAATTATCAAATTTTTTTTAACAATAAAATTATTTAAACTTTATTAATTTTTCTAATTATAATTTTTTTTAAATAAATAGAATATGATAATTAATATAATAAACTAGTTCAATAAATAACAATAAACCAATATTAAAAAAAAACATATAACATGCAATATATTTTAATAATACCGTAGTTTTATAGTGGTTTAGACTTGACCTTATCCACTCCCCACGCGCCTCTTGATAATTTGAATAAACCTTTCTTTGACTCTCTCCTCGATTCAGAGTGAATTTGAATAAACCATTCTGGACTCTTTCCTCGACTGAGAGAGAATTTGAATAAACTTTTTTCTTGACTCTTTCCTCGATTGAGAGAGAATTTGAATAAACTTTTTTCTTGACTCTTTCCTCGATTCGGAGCGAATTTGAATAAACCTTTCTTGACTCTTTCTTCGATTCAGAGCGAATTTGAATAAACCTTTTTGGACTCTTTCCTTGATTAAGAGCGAATTTGAATAAACTTGACTCTTTCCTTAATTCAGAGCGAATTTGAATAAACTTGACTCTTTTCTCGATTCAGAGCGAATTTGAATAAATTCTTTGTTGGATCGGTATGGTAACCCTAGAGAGGGGGTGAATAGGGTTTTAACGATAAAAGTGTTTAAACTTGATTAATTTTTCTAATGATAAAACTTTTTACAAATAAGTAGAAGATGATAATTACTAAAACAAAATAATTCAAGTCAAAACAATAATCAAGTAGAACATGCAATAAATCATAATAATAATCTTGAAATTAAATAGGAAAGAGTTAGAGAAAATGACACCGTAGTTTTATAGTGGTTCGGTCAAACTCGACCTACTCCACTCCCCAAGCGCCTCTTGGGAATTTGAATAAAGAACTTTTCCGACTCTTTCCACGGATCAGAGCCAAACCGGTACACCGCTCTTTTTACGAGTTCAAGAGCAAACTCAATCCTTTCCACGGCGCAGGATCAAACCGATACAAGTATTTGAGTTTGATAATAACACACCACAACTCTCTCAAAGAGTAGATTTACAATTTGGGATACTCACAACTATTTCCTCACAATATAATAATAATCCCTCTCAAGAATAAGATGAAAAGAAATAAACTTGTAAGCTTGGAGAGAGCAACAAACAATGGAGACTTTGAACAAATGAGGATTGAAGAATGTATGTAAGTTGTGTATTTTAAAAATGTGGGGAAGATTTTATATAGGGGAGAAAAGTGGCAAAATGTAGGATTGAATATTGACCATTGGATTGTGTTAGGAATAATGGAAGGTGGAGATTAAAAGTAATTAAATAAGAAAATTTTCTAAATTCATTTATTTCAAAATTTTAATATAATAGTAATATAATATAATAATAATAAAAAGTTATGTGAGTAACGGTCAAATGAAATTCAAAATTTATTATAAATATAATAATATAATAATAATAAAAATGATGTGAGTAACTACCAAAATTTTAAAATATAATAATATAATAATATAATATAGTAATAATAAAATTCGATGTGAGTAACGGTTATATTCAAATTTATATTTTGTAAAAATAATTTTATTTAGAAATGTAATAATAAGAAAAACTCCACCATTTGTTACTCTTCCAATATTATAAATGTCATACTTTGATATATTTTGATTTGTCCATCATTTTGATTTTGTTGCCACATCATCACGTCGGGTATGTTGTCTCGACTCTAATTTCTTCGTTTTAGCTCTGATTTGAGTAATTGAAAAGTTGTTGTAATCGTTATTCCCGACCTTATACTGTGGACAGTTCAAAAAACTGAAAATAGTTAATAATTAAAAGTAGGTTTGTTATCATCAAAACGTCAATAATTAATTCATTGAAATTAATTAATGTGAGATCAAGGGCCAATAAGCCAACATTCTTGACTCTCCTCGATTGAGAGAGAATTTGAATAAACTTTTCAATAAACTTTTCTTGACTCTTTCCTCGATTCAAAGCGAATTTGAATAAACCTTTCTAGACTCTTTCTTCGATTCAGAGCTAATTTGAATAAACCTTTCTTGACTCTTTTCTCGATTTAGAATGAATTTGAATAAACTTGACTCTTTCCTTGATTAAGAGCGAATTTGAATAAACTTGACTCTTTACTCGATTCAGAGCGAATTTGACTCTTTCCTCGATTCTGACCGAATTTGAATAAATTCTTGACTCTCCTCGATTGAGAGAGAATTTGAATAAACTTTTCTCGACTCTTTCCTCAATTGAGAGAGTATTTGAATAAACTTTTCTCGACTCTTTTCTCGATTCAGAGCGAATTTGAATAAATTCTCGACTCTTTTCTCGATTCAGAGCGAATTTGAATAAATTCTCGACTCTTTTCTCGATTCAGAGCGAATTTGAATAAATTCTCGACTCTTTTCTCGATTCAGAGCGAATTTGAATAAATTCTTGACTCTTTCCTCGATTCAGAGCGAATTTGAATAAATTCTTGACTCTTTCCTCGATTCAGAGCGAATTTGAATAAACCAAACCTTTCTTAACTCTTTTCTCGATTCAGAGCTAATTTGAATAAACCTTTTTTTTTTACTCTTTCCTCGATTAAGAGCTAATTTGAATAAACATTTTTTAACTCTTTCCTCAGCCAATCCTTTTTTTTTACTCTTTCCTCAGCCAATCCTTTTTTTTACTCTTTCCTCAGCCAATCCTTTTTTTTACTCTTTCCTCCATTCAGAGAGAATTTGAATAAACCTTTCTGGACTCTAAAAAACCTTCTGAACGAATTTGAATAAACCTTTCTGGACTATTTCTTCGATTTAGAGCTAATTTGAAAAAACCTTCTGAGCGAATTTGAATAAACCAAACCTTTCTTGACTCTTTCCTCGATTAAGAGCTAATTTCAATAAACCTTCTTTTTTACTCTTTCCTCGATTAAGAGCGAATTTGAATAAATCTTCTTTTTTTTTTAACTCTTTCCTCGATTAAGAGCCAATCTTTTTTTTTTACTCTTTCCTTTCTTTTTTTTTTAACTCTTTCCTCGATTAAGAGCCAATCTTTTTTTTTTACTCTTTCCTTTATTCAGAGCGAAAGCTAATTTGAATAAACCTTTCTTGACTCTTTCCTCCATTCAGAGCAAATTTGAATAAACCTTTCACTCTTTCCTCAATTTAGAGCGAATTATCCTTTCTTAACTCTTTCCTCCATTCAATTTAAATAAACCTTTCTTGACTCTTTCCTCCATTCAGAGGAAATTTGAATAAACCTTTCACTCTTTCCTCAATTTAGAGCCAATTATCCTTTCTTGACTCTTTCCTCCATTCCGAGCAAATTTGAATAAACCTTTCACTCTTTCCTCAATTTAGAGCGAATTATTTCTTTTCTTGACTCTTTCTCGATTCAGAGCGAATTTGAATAAACCTTACCTTCCTTGACTCTTTCCTAATCTTTCTTCATTCTTTCCTAATCTTTCTTCATTCTTTTTCGATTAGGTGCGAATTTGAATAAACCTTTCTTGACTCTCCCGTCGATTCAGAGCAAATTTGAATAAATCTTTATGGATTTCGATTCAGAGCAAATTTGATTCAGAGCAAATTTGAATAAATCTTTATGGATTTCGATTCAGAGCAAATTTGATTCAGAGCAAATTTGAATAAATCTTTATGGATTTCGATTCAGAGCTAATTTGAATAAATCTTTCTGGATTCTTTCTTCAATTCAGAGCTAATTTGAAAAAACTGAAAAAACCTTCTGAGCTAATTTGAATAAACCTTTCTGGACTCTTTCCTCGATTTAGAGCGAATTTAAATAACCCAAACCTTTCTTGACTCTTTCTCATTCAGAGCTCTTTCCTCGATTTAGAGCGAATTTAAATAACCCAAACCTTTCTTGACTCTTTCTCATTCAGAGCTAATTTGAATAAACCTTTTTTTTACTCTTTCTTCGGAGCTAATTTGAATAAACTTTTTTTTAAACTCTTTCCTCGATCAAGAGCAAATTTGAATAAACTTTTTTTTTAACTCTTTCCTCGATCAAGAGCAAATTTGAATAAACTTTTTTTTTAACTCTTTCCTCGATTAACAATCTTTTTTTTTTTACTTTTCCTTGATTAAGAGTGAATTTGAATAAATCTAGACTCTTTCCTCTATTCAAGCCAATTTGAATAAACCTTTTTTTTTCTCTTTCCTCGGTTAAGAGCCAATCTTTTTTTTTTTACTTTTTTCTCGATTCAGAGCAAAAGCTAATTTGAATAAACCTTTTTTGACTCTTCCCTCGCGAATTTGAATAAACTTTTCTAGACTCTGTCCTCTGTTCAGAGCGAATTTGAATAAACCTTTATAGGCTCCTTTCTCGATTCAGAGCGAATTTGAATAAACCTTGGATTCTTTCCTCAATTCAGAGCGAATTTGAATAAACCTTGGATTCTTTCCTCAATTCAGAGCGAATTTAAATAAACCTTTTTTTTTTACTCTCTCCTCGATTAAGAGCTAATTTTGAATAAACATTTTTTTTTTTTTACTCTTTCCTCAATTAAGTGCGAATTTGAATCAACCTTTTTTTTTACTCTTTCTAGATTAAGAGCGAATTTGAATAAACCTTTCTGTACTCTTTTCTTGATTTATTGCGAATTTGAATAAACCTTTATAGACTCTTTCCTCGATTCAAAGTCAATTTGAATAAACCTTTATGGACTCTTTCCTCGATTCAAAGCTAAATTGAATAAACCTTTCTAGACTCTTTCCTCGATTCAGAGCTAATTTGAATAAAACTTTTTTTTTTTTACTCTTTCCTCTATTAAGAACTAATTTTGAATAAATCTTTTTTTTTATTCTTCAGGAGGGAATTTGAATAAACTTTTTTTTAACTCTTTCATTAAGAGCTAATTTGAATAAATCTTTACTCTTCAGAGCAAATTTGAATAAATTTGGTCTTTACTCTTCAGAGCAAATTTGAATAAATTTGGACTATTTCTTGGATTCGGAGGGAATTTGAATAAACCTTGACTTTCTACTAGTGAATTTGAATAAACCTTGACTCTCTACTAGTGAATTTGAATAAACCTTTCTTTCTGGACTCTTTCCTCGATTAAGAGCTATTTGAATAAACTTTTTTTTTATTTTTTTTACTCTTTCCTCGATTAGGAGGAATTTGAATAAACTTTTATTTTATTTTATTTATTATTTTTTTTTTACTCTTTTCTCGATTAAGAGCTAATTTGAATAAATTTTTTTTTTTTTTTTTACTCATAAACCTTTATTTACTCTTTCCTCTGTTAAGAGCTAATTTAAATAATTTTTTTTTTTACTTTTCTAGATTAGGAGCGAATTTGAATAACTTTTTTTTTTATTATTAAGAGCTAATTTGAATAAACCAACCTTTTGTTTTTTACTTTTTCATCTATTAAGAGTAAATTTGAATAAATCAACCTTCCTCTATTAAGAGCGAATGTGAATAAACCAACCTTTCTTTTACTCTTTCCTAGGATTAAGAGCGAATTTGAATAAACCAACTTTTTTTTTTCTGGATTAAGAGCTAATTTGAATAAACCAACTTTTTTTTTTCTCAATTAAGAGCTAATTTGAATAAACCAACTTTTTTTTTCTCGATTAAGAGCTAATTTGAATAAACCAACTTTTTTTTTCTCAGATTAAGAGCTAATTTGAATAAACCAACCTTTTGCTTTTTACTTTTTCCTCAATTAAGAGTAAATTTGAATAAACCAACTTTTTTTTACTCTTTCCTAAGATTAAGAGGGAATTTGAATAAACCAACCTTTTTTTTTTTTACTCTTTACTCGATTAAGAGCGAATTTGAATAAACCATCCTTCCTCGATTAAGAGTGAATTTGAATAAACCAACTTTTTTTTTTACTCTTAACTCGATTAAGAGCGAATTTGAATAAACCAACCTTGCGAATTTGAAAACTTTTTCTTTTTTACTCTTTCCTCCGTTTAGAGAGAATTTGAGTAAACCTTTTTTTACTCTTTGCTCGATTAAGAGAGAATTTAAATAAACCTTTTTTTGCTCTTTCCTCGATTTTAAGACCTTGATTAAGAGCTAATTTGAATAAACCAACCTTTTTTTTAACTCTTTCCTCAATTAAGTGCTAATTTGAATAAACCAACTTTTTTTTTTTACTCTTTCCTCGATTAAGAGCGAATTTGAATAAACCGACCTTGCGAATATGAAAACCTTTTTTTTTTTTTACTCTTTCCTCGATTAAGAGAGAATTTGAATAAACCTTTTTTTACTCTTCCCTCGATTAAGAGAGAATTTGAGTAAACCTTTTTTTACTCTTTTCTCGAGAATTTGAATAAACTTTTATTTACTCTTTCCTCGAGAATTTGAATAAACCTTTATTTATTGTTTCCTCGATTAAGAGAGAATTTGAATAAACCTTTTTTTACTCTTTCCTCATTAAGAGACTCTTTCTTATTTTTACTCTTTACTCGATTAAGAGAGAATTTGAATAAATCCTCGATTAAGAGAGAATTTGAAGAAACCTTTATTTACTCTTTCCTCGATTAAGAGAGAATTTGAATAAACCTTTTTTTACTCTTTCCTCGATTAGGAGAGAATTTGAATAAACCTTTTTTTTTACTGTTTCCTCGATTAAGGGAGAATTTGAATAAACCTTCTTTTACTCTTTTCCTCAATTAAGAGAGATTTGAATAAACCTTCTCGATTAAGAGATTCTTTCCTCGATTAAGAGAGAATTTGAATAAACCTTCTTTTACTCTTTTCCTCGATTAAGAGATTTGAATAAACCTTCTTTTACTCTTTTCCTCGATTAAGAGAGATTTGAATAAACTTTCTCGATTAAGAGACTCTTTCCTCGATTAAGAGTGAATAAACCTTCTTTTACTCTTTTCCTCGATTAAGAAAGATTTGAATAAACCTTCTCGATTAAAAGACTCTTTCCTCAATTGAATAAACCTTCTCGATTAAGAGACTCTTTCCTCGATTAAGAGACTCACTTATCTTATAGTCAAACTTAAAAGATACAAAAAAAAAAAAAAATATATATATATATATATATAATCTACATCTGCTTTGTTGGGTCGGTTTAGGTTGAGTTATTTATGGTTTAAAGGTGGTGAAAGAAAAGGCAGCAAAGGGAGGAGTTTGATTATTACAGACCCCTTTTTATGTATGATTAATACCAGATTCACATAAGTAAAGCATTACAAACTAAACACAAGATAGGGCAAGCTAATGTTGATTACCATTACAAACTCCAACTCCAATCAAACAGGAAACGGATTAAACCCACTTTTGACCATCTTCTCTAAAGGCCAAAACAGAGGGCTTGGAAGATCATCCCAATCGTACCAGTCCCACCCACCGCACTTACTCGGCTCCAGATTCTGAGGCTGTTGCAGGGGATCTGATAAAACTGCGCGCATAAAAATGACCACATAATGGGAAGGTTTCGGATCATTCACAAAAGGGTTGTTTGTTGCAGTCAGGAACTCTGTTTTCTCAATGTCTAACCCCGTCTCTTCCTTCACCTCTCTCACACCACATTCCTCAAACGACTCCCCTGGAATTTCCCTTATTAGAAAAATGGTACCCATCTCTAAAACGAAATCAAAATTTAAGTGTGAGCAAAAAACGAGAGATTCACCAAATTCGAGATGGCCGCCGGGGAGTGCGAATGTGGCGTGACTGGAGTCACCGCTGGAGGACAGCCTTCGACCCAACAGCACTGACTTTCCCTTCAGGATATAAACCACCACCCCGACTCTCGGCACCGCCGCCGCCGCCGCTTCCACCGGGTTCTCCATTTTTTTGGTCTTTCCACCACAAGTCTTCACAATGTTGGGAGGGTATAAATTGTGGGCCGTGTAGTCACAAAGCCTCGGGAAAAGTGTGTAACGTGGAGTTATGTAATTGGTTTACTTTCTTTTGGCTTGGGCAGCACGCGTACAGGAATGTCCTTTACCAATTATTTTATGGACCAAACGCAAATCAGTGATATACAGAATACATTAAATTTAAAACATACCCACTATGTTTACGAAATAATACAGCAAAATAGGATCAGAATCTAAAAGCTACGCGATTCTTGCACTCCCTTGCCATTCACCGTTTTAAAAATACTCAATAAGCAACTTACTCATATATTCAATGTGATATATTCTAAGCTTGATCCTAGAATTAGCTAATTTTATGACATAGTCATTTAGATTCCCATCCTACTCATACATTCATTGAACCACATCATTCCCAATTCTAGATGAAATTAGCCACTTTATCTCTAATCTTTTTTATCCATTTAAGTCATTCACAATTGACATACAGTTCAAGGTACACCCATCAAATCACGTGGTCTAGGTAGATCTAACAAGTACGGAAAATCATATCTCCTTATTAACAACCTCTTAGTCTCTTTAATAGGTTCCATATGTGTCTACAATTGAGTGCTAACTAGTAGTTCCTCTACTAGCACCTAACAAGCTCTCTACTCTACATCATTTTAAGCCTTGAACAGTGCAGGACAACTAGAACTCGCTCAGTAATACTCTCTAATGTGTCACGGGTTCTAAATAGATGACATCACATTCTTCAATACTAAGTAAGTTCTGAATGTCATGTCACACAAATGCATAGATACTACATATACATACAAAACTACTTCTACATGCGTATGTATGGTGTATACATGTATTCTAAGTGTACTACAACAAATAAGGCATTCCGTAGCTTTTAAGTATAGCATTTTAAATATTATGCTATGAAAGAGGGAGAAAGAAATGTTCAAAGTTGCGTTAAAAAAGAGCGGGACATTTGGTTTTTTTAAAAGAATGGTGAAAAGTTGGGTTTGAAAAGAAAAAAAGGGGAAGGCCGAAAACCACCGCTTCAGCCTTTCTCTCTCTTTTCCCTTTCCTTTAATGAAGGTTCTGTTCCCTAAAATTAATTTCAAGTTTTCTTTTTCTCCTTCCATTTTTTCTTCTGCACCCAAAGTTTGGGCAATCGAAACTGATTCCAAAAATTTAGTAAATCTGTTCTTTCGTGAGTCATTATTGGTGGCGGTTGTCTCAAAATTGTGTGATATTAGAGAGGTTTTGATCGCGATGAACTTATTTTTTTGAGTACTTGAACTTTGAAAGCTTGATTGACTCTTCTCTTTAGTAGTTTTCTATGTTATTTCTATTGTTAGACCATAATAAATTTTTTTTTGGATACTTTAGATAATAAAATGGCTCGTCTACCTTTTCCTGCCAATAGTAGTAGTTGTTTATTGGAGGTCTTGATTTGGATTTTAAGGGACAGTATGCCCCTCTCAGACCGATCAGAATCATTTATTATTGTTATACTTCATTTTCCAAACATTTTTGTAAGCCTTTAATTTTTTCATATGCAGGTGGAAGTTGCTCGTTTCATAACATTAATCATTACTTGCTGGAGTTTTCAAGTTTCTTCAACCTCTAGTAAGTAGATGGAAATTGATAATTATTTTCTTATGAAAATTTGGTTGAAGGTTATGAATGGTATTCAATTGAATTATGAAACATAATATATTCAATAAGGAAGAGTTGACATCTAAGAGGCAATTAAGAGTACATAGATCAACTAGTTCTTATTGACTATTTTAATAGGTAAGATTATTGCAATTAAGCAAGTAAGGAAGGAAAAGTCCATGTATGATTGCTGGCTGATTTTGTATGATTGTGGATTAGGATTGTTATAATGGGTCATATTCATTGGTGAGCTTATTACGACAAAGTAGACAAATATAGAGTTGTCTTTACTTGTTGCTAATTGTGTAAGCCTTCTCCTATGGGTTCATAGTTTTATAACAAATGTTGAATAAAACTTGCATGATTGATAATAAAATAAATGTGTTTTGATAGTTTCTAACATTTTAAGAAAGGAGCTATTAAATTGGAAGACTAAAATTTTAACTTTAGGCTTGAAAAATGTAAAAGTGAGCAAAAAGTCACTAAAGAAATAGACCTAAATTTGTGGGAATCCAGATTGCAAGTATTGAAGATAAATCCGTAATTATGTCTTTTTCTACGTTCTTAGTTCCTTTATTTCATATGTGAACAAGAATGTATTGAGGTAGTTTTCTTACATGGGTGATGATTTGGATGTATTTATTTTACATTATTATCATCACTCTATGTTTACTAGCCTATTTACATTTTTTTTTTACATTTTTTTTTACATTTTTTTTAAAATTTTATCTAAAGTATTACTATTTAGTTTAAACTTTCAGAGTACATTGGGAAGAAATATGTGATTCTTTTTTCTTCTCATCTGGAGTTCACATTTGGGTTTGTTGCACTAAATTATGCTAAATTGAAGTTAAAGAAATACTATTTTTAATTGCTTTGATCCTAAGTTTCTTGCTTGCTTTCATGGACTATTTGAACAATTTGGTGTTCCCTGCTTCTATTGACAGTGTTGTAAGTATTTACTTGCATCTCTTGTTTAACATAGATATTTTTTAGAAGAAGTTGTATCTTGGTAGAATTGTGCTCTATTCCTTAAAACAAGGTCGTTAATCTCAATGAACTTGTAATTGTGAAGTATGATGATACTAATATAATCATTCTAGTATTTCTCATATCTTGCTTAGATTCGGCACATAATCCACGTTATTTATTTATTTTTTTTATGAAAATCGCAGGAACAAGTGGAACATGCTAACAAATTACTCCATTGTCTGTTACTATTCCTTTCTTGACGTTGGACAACATTATAAAGACAATGGACTAGTAAGGCATCGACTGCACAACGTATTAAAAGAGCTGGAAGTACAGAGCCTAAACATTGTTATTGTTTCTATTCTTCTGCCGTTTTTTAGTAATGTGTTTCTTAAATATTCTCTAAATTTAATGTTCTTGAATACTTTATTTTAAATTTGAATTAGGAATGGAAGTTCCTTCATAGGTTATAAAATCTTTCATGTTAGATTATATTATAAAAATATTGTCGGAGTCTTTTCGTTAAAAATAAAAATTATAATAAAATTTATACAACATAAAACAAATGTCATTAAAAAAATTACTACGTTAATTATAATAATTATAAATTTACATTATTACAACATAAGATTAAAGCTATAAATACTATATTATAACGTTAAGAAAATGCTATTATAAGTTAAAAATAGCCAATATTTTAGTTATATTAAACATATTATAGCTTTAAAAAATGCTATTGCTTGTAGAAATGATATAATGATAATCTATTTTCTACGCGATTAAGGAAACTTAGTTTTTCAATCCCATTATGATTTGGTTGTTTGGAAGAGATTCTTTCTCGATTAAAATAGTAGAAAGTATTATAAGGGATATATACTCATTTTCAAATCCTCCTACCATAAAAGAATGCCGATTATTTAGTGTGTTAAGTTTCGCCAAAAGCAATCATTGACCATTTTGGACCATCTCATTTTTTCGGACATAACTTGGACCATAAAAGTTAGTTTCATAAAATATGAATAAATGTTATGCCAGAGTCAAAAAGTATACCATAGATCAATAAAATTCATATTCAACACATCAAAAGTCGTAAAATATGTAATTCGAACTAAACCATTTAAATATTCCAATTCCTAAGTTTAGCTATCCAATTTCATGTTTAATAAGTTCATAATACATGCTAAAAGTCTTTATGCTCAAGTCCTTATGCTCAAGTCCTAGTTGATTCTTACGAGCATTTCTTGTATAAAAGTCCAAAACAATTACTTAGGTGTTCTGTTCCTGGACTTCTAAAATTCAAAATTCTTTGAAATTACTGGAAGGTATTTTAAATGGAGTCTAGTTTCTAAAACCAAATGAATTTTTGTGAGAACTGAACGAATTAAAACAATACAAATGAGTTAAATTAGATGATGTCATCTTCTATCTTCAACAAAGATGACAGGTTTCTCCAAGCTGATTTTTAAGGCATGAAAGTTGAGGTCTACAAAATGCTACAATTGTTCTCTCAAAGGTTCCCCTTCACCACAAGTATAGTCCTATCAACCATGAAGCTCTAGGATTGTTCTCCTACATTCACTAAAGTTTATAGTAGAAGATCCCTAAAACCAACGAGCTCAAGAACGTACCTAATTGGAGGAAGTCAATTTGGAGTAAGTTTTGGGGGTAAACTTATATTTCTTACCTAAGGTTCCTCTCATTCAAAATTAAACATTTTGTAAGCTACAGGGGACTGAGTTAAACATTTTTTATGAAGGAATTGAGACTCAATAAGGCATGGATCGAACTGTCCAAGTGGATCAATTTTTTTACATTGGGTTCACCTACAACCCTTAGGAGTTACTTCAAAATTAGCCACGATCACACAAATTCGTCTATCCAAAATAATTATTTAAGTTTGAGAGAAGGATAAGGAAGAAGTTTTGTGAAGAAATTGTGTGTGAAAAGGTCACAATCGGTTTGACCAATAACATGTAGCAATGGGTTTGTCCATGAGAAAACGTGTTTTCAACCAACTTTGGAGAAGGATAACTTTGGATACCACGATCAAGTGAGTTCTTGGTCTCTGCATCTTCCTTGCAACAACTTCTTTTAGAAATCATGGGGAGAAATGCTCTATACCAAGCTGGAGAGACCAAGTTTTAAGTGGCGGGAGTAAATGGTGCGCGTGATGAAGAAGATGACGACGTGGACCGTTCAACTAAATTGGCCATGTCAGCCTAATTTTAGACCTCTCCTTAATTTTTCTCAAAATTAACCTTCTTTACCGTCCATTCTCATGAAAATTTTTATGGTTTCAGAAGTTAAACTCTTTAAGGAATCTACTAAAGAAAATTTTGGACAATTCTAGTACCCGAAGGAGAATTGATTATCTAAACAGCAACTAAAAAAAGTAAGTAACCAATATAGAGTTTTCTTAAGAAATACAAGAATTAAATTAAGAACAATGAGTTAAGAACATAAACGAGTGTTTTGCTCGAAAATAAAGTAACACTAAAATAACCCATGAAGTGAACTCTGCTACCCATTTTAATTCTACACACAAAAGGATAGGCAAATTATGTTCATGGAATGAAGTTATAAAGTTAAACTCAAATGATCTTGTTATAAAATTTTAGAAGAGGACTTATTTCATAATGTCAAAAGACTATTTTTAGTCTTAGAACTATTGGATCAAGTTTGAACTCAAACTAAGTTTGTGAAAAATTACTAAAACGTCTCTAAAACTCATTTGTGAAAAATTACTAAAATACCCCTAAAACTCAATGTAAAATATTTCAAAGTCCAAAAACACTCTAAATGACTCAATATTGACCTAAAATTTTAAGAGATTGAGATTAAGTTTAGAAGCTAAACCAAGTTAAAGGTATTTAAGACCCATTCATGATGTTTCTAGAATATTCAATAAATATGTTATAATTTTATGTTATTTGAATGAAAATTATGCACGTGAATAAGGATCAAGAACCCTGAACCTTATAACTAAACTCCTTAGATGAGAACTAGATTAAGATTAAGAAGTTAGAATTTAAGACCAAAGTCGGGCAAGAATTGAAGAACATAAGTGCCTAAATTTTCATTCATACTAGAATAAAGTAGAATAGGAATGGACAGGCTTCACCTAACTTCGTCTATTGGTGGTGATTTGTGGTTTGAGCGTTGAAAGCTGTTTACCACAAAAGTCAAATTAGTAGTTAAGCCTCCTTCCACAGGCTTTGGACTTTGGCTAGTTTTCCAACACAACCAACAACTAAACCTAGGAACTATGTTCTTGGGACTTTGCGTGTATCATAAAATATAAAATCCCATTTTATGGTGTTTGTTGGAAACTAATTTTCAAATTCAGAAAACACTTAAAACTGAAATAATTGAGGGAAATATGTTTGCTTAAAATGTGTTCTATAACAAACAATTATATTCTCATATATTATATATTCGATTTATCCTATGAACGGGTATACATGTATCTAAATTTAAGTATGTATCATTTAAAGCTCTTACGTTAAATTTAGCATGTTACTGAGATAAATAGCGAGACAACGCATGTCTACGTCGGCTATGCTTATAAAAAAACAAATCATATAAAACTCCCTTCTTCCCTCCTAGTTTGATTTCTCTAACCTCCGATAAGAACTTACCAATCTAAACCATTAGCTTCAAATCATAAAATTTGGGTTGGATTAGATTTTTTTTTCTTTTAAATTTAGATTGGATTGAATTTTTGGAAAATCGAAAATTCAGGTCAGTTCACTAGTTGACATTTTTTTTTAGGTCAACTCGACCAACTCAAAATAAATTTACAATCCAACCTTACTCTAGCTCTACTTTTGAGATTATTATGATCATAAAAAAAATATTTGATATTTGTAACTGATATTAATGATGTGTGGTGACTTACAAATGTTTGATATTTGATTTTTATGAATGTGACATTTACGGTGGAGGAGTAAATTTTAAGGCTAAATTAATAAAGTTCTTTCTCTCAAAAATATCATTTAAACTTTTAAAAGTTTCAATTATCCTCTTCAAATTTTAAAAATATCTAAAAAATATTATTTAAATTAGAAAAATTTAAAAGTAATATTACCATTAATTTTGGAG